TTTTCAGAGGAAATGATTGTCCACGGGGGAAAAAAAATCTCATGGAATTGACAAAAACAATACCATAGAGCAGACGGTGATTATTCAAAGGCCACAGATCGAAAGTTTTATTTACGGATGTCAACAGTATCGTGTCCAGCAACAATAAGCAACGGAGCCCAGGCCCAGAGTTTAAGCCCCACAATCGACAAAAGAAAATAATAATACAGAAAACATAAAAGCAAGCAATTTAGTTTGAAATTAAACGTGTAATACCATTTATATTTATGTCTACATTTTATACTGAAACACTAGACATAAGTGTAACAAAAGACTTCTGAAGACCTATACTTGGAAAACTATGTAATAAATGTGGAGATATTTAAATTTTTTGATGTGAGAACTCTACATTTTCAAAATATCATTCTCTCTCTCCCATCTCTGAACCTCATCCATACCCTCAAGTGATACAGTTCCATTTTCATATAATGTACATTGACTAGAACGAGTGATTCTATAGTTTAGAAGGAAAGAAAACAGACTAGGAAGAACCATCATGGTACTGAAGAAAAGGAACTAATAAAGGCAGCATGGTATTGACCAACAGCACATCCATGAATCCACAAATCAGAATGAGGAAGAAAGAAATAAGTACACAGAAATATGGTCAACCAACTTTGGTCACATTAACAAATGCATTTCATTGAAGAAAGGATAAAAGATGGTATTTTCAATAAATTACAATGCCTTGGTTACCTGTAATCACACACACACACACACACACACACACACACACACACACACACTGCAGTCATATAATTTGTTCCCTTTATAAAAGCTAATGTAACAAGGATGAGACATAATATGTGAAATGCAACATTAGAAGACTCCAGAAGATAAAATGAGAGAGAAAATACCAACTAAGTGACATTGGCTAGGTGATGAGTAGTTATATAGATCAAATGTATAATCGCTGCAAAAATTGTTAAGTTGGGGCTGGGCAGGTGGCTCAGTGGTACAGTGCTTGCCTTGCATGCATGAGGCCCTGGGTTTGATTCCTCAACACCACATAAGCAGAAAAAGCTGGAAGTGGTGCTGTGGCTCAAGTGGTAGAGCGCTAGCCTTGAGCTGAAGAGCTGAGGGACAGTGCCCAGGCCCAGAGTTCAAGCCCCATGACCCCCTCCCCCCCCCACAAAATTGTTAAGTTAGGGTTTACTACAAGTAACTGTGAAGAGAATGGGAACGTGAAGAAAGCATAGTCTTGCACAAAATGTTTGCAAATCGCCTTTCTGGTAGAAGACTCATGTCCAAAATATATAAAGACCTCTTAAAATTCACAAGAGAAAGAGTCAACAAAAGGGCAAAAAAAAAAAACAACAAAAACCCCACAGACCTAAAAGTATCCATATAGCAAGTGAGAAAACTCTAAACACTGCCTGTCGTTAGGAAATTGCACATTAAAGTATCACTGTACTAAGAGCCCATTTCAATCAACAAAATTAAATAAATAAACCCAACAATATCAAATATCCACGAAGACATGAAGATGCAGGAACTTATCATTATTGACGGCCAGAGTGCAAAATCAAATACCTACAAAGGAGTATTTGGTAATTTCTCATAAATCTCAAAAAAGAAAATATTTCCTCAAATTGCAGCAACCTGTACCCAGATAGTCAAAGCACTCAGTTGCAAACTCAGGTCCACAGTAAACTCTTCTTTACATGAATAATAGTAACGTTATTCATAATAACCCCAAACTGGAAGCAACTAAGATATCCTTTGATATGTAAATGGATAAACAAACCCGGGTACATTCACACAATGCAGTATTATTCACTGGTTAAAAAAAAGACATGAGCCTACCAAGCCATGCAACAAACATAGCTAGAATGGAAATCTTTTCTGAAATGAAAAGAGCCAGGACTTAGGGCAGAAATGATTATTTTTAGGACAAGAGTAAGAAATGCTGAAGATAAGGTTTCAACATCGTATGATACTACAAAGACCATCAGAATGACCAGGGCTTGGTAAAACAGCATGCCCGGTACAAAGGAAGTATTCTGGAGTCCATCATAAATGACTGAAGACGTGCTTCATAAATGCTTGAATAAGTTAGGAAATGATGGAGAAGAGACCAGTCTCTTATTCCACATAATCACACATAATCTATGTGGACATGCCCCTCTAAGTGAGTAGAATGTGATTTCCTAGTTCGAGAGGCTTTTCAAAAGTATGGTGAAGCTGGGTGCTGGTGGCTCACACCTGTGGTCCTAGCTACTCAGGAGGCTGAGATCTGAGCATTGTGGTTCAAAGCCAGCCCGGGCAGGAAAGTCCATGAGACGCTGATCTCCAATGAACCACTAGAAAACTGGAAGTGGAGCTGTGGCTCAAGTGGTAGAGCTCTTGCCTTTAGCTGAAGAGCTCAGGGACAGCGCCCAGGCCCAGAGTTCAAGCCCCGCAGCTGACTAAAAAAAAAATGTATGGTGTGAAAAGGGGGTGGACACCCACTTTATGAGGCGAGTGTTGGATGAACACAACTTGAGCAGGTGACAGAATCTACAGGGGGAGACACATATCTGAACAACACTCCTCAAAACCTGATTCTTCACAAACAAGGAAAGGATGACCACAGCTAAGATCCGTGCCCTGCATATCTAAACAGACAAACAACTACACACACACACACACACACACACACACACACACACACACACACACACACACAACCTTAGAAGAAAACATTCTATTTCCACCTTTAAGAAGCCATGAAAGATGGAGGAGGTTGCATACACTTGAACGTGATTATACTCCTACAGCCATGAACTGAAATATGGACTGGTAAGTACAGGAAGTACAATTTTATGTGTGGATGTACCAAGCACAATGAAATTTAGTTAAAAATGTATGTGTAAGGAAAAGAAGTGGAAAGAAAAAGTCAGGGTCAGCTAACAAATGACATCGTCCAAAGGAACCTGTGGCCATATATAACTACAGCCAAATGTGATGTGTTAACTTTCATGGTATCTGAAAAATGAAAGACCAAAAAAAAAAGCGTACTTGATAAAACCTCAAGAATTCTAAGTAGACTATCAATTTTAGTTTACAATAATGTGCCAATATTGGTTTTTTTTAAAGTAATGTATCATACGAATGTAAGATGTTAATAAAAAGAAACTTCCAAGGGGTTCATGCATGGGAATGCGGCAAGATCTGCTTCATTTTCTGTAAGTCTAATGCCATTTGTAAGAATAAAAATCCATTAATTTAAGATCCCTAATGTATAAATAATAATAGTTAACCAGAACCACACTTAAAAAAATACTTGGAAGCCATTTTTCTTTCAAAATGTCATGTTAATGGCATGAGAACACACTAATATTCCATTGAGTAAAACAGAGGTTGAAAAATTAATGTTAAAAGAGAGCTAATCAAATTATCAGAATATGTAAAAATGAAATAAAAAAGAAATGTGTCATGATGTTAAAAGTCTTAACGCTTGAAATTCAGGTGGTTCTTTTTCATTTTTATGCTTTAAAAATAATGATCAGGGCCTAGGATCAACATAAGGAAACGATTACTATGTATAAATGTGTCTATATGTGTATATATACGAGTATTTATTTCGTTATTTATTATCTGGGTCTTTCTCTGTTTTTATCTCCACAAGAATTGGAGAAGACATGAAATTTTAAAAATACCAAAAGTTGTGGGTTGGCATACTTATGTCTAAACTTGCTTCCTATAACAAGATCATGAGAACGGCATGAGTTTCATCCAGAAACAATTTATCACCCACTTCTAGCTCTGATTGGGACCCAGAAATAATTAATTATTACATGACTGTCACATGCACTGGTTAACTTATCTCTGTGTCAAATGTAGCTTATTTCTCCAGTGTCCTCGCGGATTAGAAAGGAGCCCAATGCCGTGATGTGTGGTATAGACCAAGTCTGGTTTTAGTGTACAGTACATCTTGGTGTGGTGGGCTTGTTGGCAATTTCTGTGGAATGAAAGATCTAGTCTGGTGTGGGAGACAGAGGTTTTGCTAGCGCTGGCATGGGTTTGAAGAGCAGTAATTAAGCAAACATGGCATAATGAGTGACTGTCAAGTCTACCCAAACTTGCAAAAGTTACATTTGCTATTTTACTGGTTGCTTTGCTTTACCACTAAAATAATCCTATATACATATTATTTCCAGGCTACCATCAGCAACTCCTAGATGGATTTAGAGCTGAAATCTTAACTCAAAAAGAAAGGAAGGAAGAAAAAAGGAAAAAAATAGAGATAGGAAAGAAAAGGAGAAGGAAGGAAGGAAAAATACAGGAATTAAGGAAGGAGGGAAGGAAGGAAAGAAGACTCAATGGAAGGAAAGAGGAAGGAAGGAAAGAAGGAAGGAAGGATAAAAGAAAGGAAAAGAAAGAGGAAGAAAGAGAGAAGAAAGAAGGATGAAAGAAAGAACAGAGAGAAGGAAAGAAAAAAGGAAGGAGAAGGAAGGAAGGAAGGAAGAAAATTTCCTCACTTCAACAAATGGGCAGTTCATCATACAGTTAGAAAATCACTAGTTTTTAAAGTAGGTCTGGCCACATTCATCTTAGACTACACAAGAAACACATCTAACCGGGAAGGTACAATATGATGTATTAATGTATAAAGGTTGTCAACCTAAAATAAAATTCTAAAATGGTCCTTGAGATGCCAAAAAAGAACATGACTCGAGATGAAATGACTAGAAATAGGATATCGCTAGCTTTTAGTCTGGACTCTGTTGTCCTGTCTTGTCATTGAACCTTGACGTCTCTTGCACTCACAACTCCTCGTTGTGTAAAAAAAAATCCGGATTGAAAAATCACAACGGAGACTTGTTCTGTGGTATATGAAATAGCTCTTCCTAGCATTGTTTCTATGCGCTTCGCTTGACAAGAGACGCGTACACCAGAGAGAGCGAGACAGCAGCTGAATGCAAACCATTAAGCTCGGGAGGTGGCCCGGACTCTGTTTCCCTTCGTCCACCATTTACCTTCTGGCTCGTTTTTGATGAGCTCTTCCATTTTCCTCTGCTTCAATGTGTCTACCACATCCGCTAAGCTACCCTTGCGCCGTTCAGGGGTCCCCAGGGCAGCACTAGGCAGGGGCTCCCCACTTTGTCGCCCACCTTCTTCTGCCTTCTGGGGTGAGGTAGATGAGTTGTGTGCCGTAAATGAAGACATAACTTTATTGCCATCAACTTCCTGTAACAGAAAGCAGAGGAGACAGAGAAGATTGGTGGTGTAAAATCTACTCACTTGGCTTACTCAGCCAACCTCTGACACACATACACACACACACACACACACAGATTACAAAAAGAGAAAAAAGTGACATGTCACTCTGGGAGAACATACAAACGAAGGAAAAAAATCAGAAAGGCTCCCATCTGTCATCCTAGCCCCTCAGGAGGTTTAGTTCTAAGGATCGCAGTTCAAAGCCAGCCCGGACAAGAAAGCTTGTGAGACTCTCGTGTCCAATTAACCAACTAAAAGCCAGAAGGGAAATGTGACTCAAGTGGTAGAGTGCTAGCCTTGAGCACAAGCTCAGGGACAGTGCTCCAATACTGAGTTCGAGCCCCACGATCAGCACATACACATGCGTGTACGCACGCACACACACGCACGCATACACGCACACGCACACACACACACACACACACACAAGCTGACTGCAGGCTAGCATTAAAGTCAGTGATCAGTTCAGAGGAGACAGTCATTTCATGTTTCTACTTTTAAAAGTCGCAGACTTAACTCTGAGCATCATAGTTGTCAGTATTAAATTTCCTCACGACGTTTTAACATCCCTTAGATTTCCATGACCATTCATTTGGTTTTGTTTTAATAAACTCATAAAATTGCATCTTTTCAGAATGTTAAAATGTTATTTTCATGATCTTTAAGTCCTTGCACGAAGGGATTTCAAACCACCATGGCTGTTTCTGAAGCCAATGTCAGGATTCCCTCATTCTCCTCCATCTCTCCCCTTCCCCACCTCTCCCCACATCTACTTATTTTTAAATGAAGAAGTTTTCATTTTACGGAGTTCCCTCTTCTCTTGTGCTGGCACTGGGATTAGAACTCCGGACCCTGTGCTCTCAATTGGCTTTCCCACTCATTGCGTGGTGCTTTGTGGCTACAGTCCAAACATCAGCTCTTGATGGGTGGAAATAAGAGCTTCACGGCTTGGCTTTATCGGCCGTGGCTGGCTGGATTCTCAGTGCTCAGTCTCCTGGGTAGCTGGGGCAACAGGAGTGAGCCCCTGGTGCAAGCTCTTGTTTCTAGCATCATAATTGAAGGAGGGTCTTCCCATAGCCAGCTCCTTCCTCTGAAGGGAGCTCCCTCTCCCCTCCGATGCGTTTTGCTGCTGTGGCCCAGGACTGGGGCTTGAGCACAGGGCCTGAGCATTGGTCCTGAGCTTTTGTGCTCAAGGCTAGTTAGTGCTCTACCACTTGAGCCTCAGCTCCACTTTTAACTTTTTGATGGTTCACTGGAGGTAAGAGACTCATGGACTTTCCTGCCAAGGCTGGCTTAGAACCACGGTCCTCCGATTTCATTGAGCCCAGGAGTCAGGATTACATGTCTGTGCACCTGCAGTCCTTAGACACGTTTAAGAAAGCCACAGCCACACAGGAGATCCTGAGATCAGACAAGAGTTTTGTAAGTTCACTTGTGTCAGGCTGAACAGTCTTCTCCTCTCATTCCTTATTTGGAAATTTTCTGAAAATACTCCGGATTATTGTTTTCTTGTTTCACTTAAAAATCTTACTTGTGCTATGGAATAGTTTCATAATTTTTTCTTGTTGTATGTACACATGCTCATTAGCTCTAAAATTTAGTATATCTTGTCTTGTATCATTATTTCCCAAACGCCCGAATATCTATTACAACTTTTCAGTGTGTGTAACATTTGGAGTAAATTTTGTATAAAAGATAATCATTTATTTCCAGGTGAAATGGAAATGATAAAGAACACTTAGTTTGCTTATTTAAAGGTTTTTGCTCTTACCTCCTACACAGCGCTGTTCTTAATCATAAAGCTGCATCCTAAGAATCTCGAGTCTTACACTAAGTGTATTTCTGATTTTTATAGCATTCCAAGTGTCCATAAAGACAGATTTGAGTGAGAGCATATTTAACATTCAGCATAACAGATTATACCTGTTTACACATTCATTCTTCTCCCTACTTAAGATATTTAAGAGGATCTTTTGATTCCAGAAAAGTGACAGATCATATTGAGGTTTTTCTTTTTTATAAGGTTCATGCTAATATTTTTTAACTAGCTTAAAAATGTACAAAGACACTTAGCTAAAACTGTCATTCTAATTTTCTTAAAAATAGATGAAAAGCAGAGTTGTCAACACAAATAAAACATGTGAGGATGATTTATGATTTTGCATTAGTGGAAATTAAGAAGCGCAGGGGAGTCACAAATCCAAAGTGAGTTCTCCTGATACAGCTGATGCGTGTGAAGAAAGCAAAAGTAAAAAGATGTGTGTGATAGAATCTTCTAGAACGCAACTCCTTCATGGTTGTAAGTGGTTGCAAACCATCTCACAAGGCTTGCATATCTTACAAACATTATGGTGTGCCTCGGATGGTAAAATACCTTGCCTGAATATTCTATATATGATTTAGTTTCTAATAACACTTAGGTTTAGAAAAACAATACCCAAAGTGGAATAATTACCAGCTCTGCGGGTGAAGTGAATGCACACTTCTGGAGTTATTTAAAACCCATTCATAGCATAAATGAACACATTAACACACACACACACACACACACACACACACACAGAGTCACAACTAAAAGGAGCAGTCACAACTTAATTCAGTAAACTAATCAGAATGTTCTTAGGAATGGACCATAATTCACAGGAGGTACATTTCATGTGCAATATAGAACAGAGAAAAATCTCTGTATTGAATTTCTACACAATGATTCCCATCTCTCTCTGGGGCCCAACATAGAAATGCCTCAACACCAGCTTCTCTGCGGAGATTTCTGTTTGTGTCCTATGTATATCTTGAAAAGGGGCAAACATTTAAAACCAAGAGTTCTTCATAGTTGCAATTAACACATATCTCTCTCTATAACATATTATCCCTGGAGAGTATGCCACCAAAATTAATCTGTAACTAGATTAATTAATCTGAAATTAATTAATTAAATAAATAAATTAATCTGCAAATACATCCACAGGTAGTCTGAACTCAGTTTCCACTAGGCAGATTCTCCAGTAAAGGAAGGCCTAGTGCTCTTTCCTGGGATTAACTTTGTCCTACAGGAACCAGTCACCCTATGCTGTTTTGCCTGCACACAAAATCCAAAGAAGCAGCCACCCCAAGCCTGCGTGGATCCCATTTTGGTGGTTCTCCTTGGCTGTGTGGATCCTTCTTAATTTTTTTTATCATCTTTAAGTAGATGTACAAAGGAGTTGCCATTTAACAGAGTGGATAATGAATACCATGCAGCTTGATCGATGTCACCCTCTTTCGACATTCACAACCATCCTTCCCTTACCCACCACCTTCTTCCTCTTCTCAATTTTGTTGGACATACATTGGATTCTTTTGAGGCAAGTCTTACCAGCTCAATAAGCATCAAGATTTGGGTAGGAGCTCACAAGAACGGTGATGAGGACTTCTGAAGTCTAATGATTAAAGAAGATCCTAAACTTCCTGGAGGAAGTTGATATGATTACCATATTAGCATTATTATTATTGTTACTACTATATCCTGATTCGCATATTATTATTACAACTGTCTTGGTGGGGCTGGAGCAAGTTTTACTTCATCTTGTCCCATTTGCCACCTTTTTAACAAGAGAAAAAAGAAAAAGGGCACCTAACTAATCTAGCCTCAATAAAGCATGATTTTTTGTTGTTGTTGTAACACACCCAAAAAAGTGTATTCTTCTTTAATTTTCTTGAGTGCTTGGAGAGAAATGTTATGTGGAACTTAATCTCCTTGCACAAAAATCGACTACAGGCAACTCAGCCAGATACACCTCTTTTTTATTCAAGTGACATGATCACCCTTGCCTTTTTTCCTTAATTTCTTTGTTTGGTGGTGGTGGTGTTGGTCCTGGGGCTTGAACTCAGGGCCTGGGCGCTGTCCCTCAGCTCCAGCTCAAGGCTAATGCTCTACCAGGTGAGCCACAGCACCACTTCCGATTTCCTGGTAGTTAATTGGATATAAGAGTCTCACGGACTTTTCCTGCCTGGGCTGGCTTTGAACCGAGATCCTCAGATCTCAGCCTCCTGAGTAGCTGGGATGACAGGCGGGAGCTACTGGCGCCCAGCTATTTAATTTCTTAATTATCCTGCTTACTTCTTGATTCTAGGGGCATTAAATGTAATACTTAACATAAAAACATTAAATTTAATTTTTCATTTACCAGTCAGTAATAAGAATGCTTGCTAAGTGTATTGAATCCTTGGGTGTCAGACATTGTTCAAAGTGTCTCCCATACAATAAGTTTAATTAATCTTTGTGGCAAAGCAAATTACGATTTCCATTTCATAGTTACAGAAACTGACGCACAGCAAAAGATATGAATGTCTGAACTACATGCATAACAAAAGGCCAGGTATCAAATTAACTGTAACCTATAGGGCTCTAGGTCCTTTTGTTTTGTTAACATTAGAGCTACTTTGCCCCTTATTTAAAAAAAATGAGAGAGAGAGAGAGAGAGAGAGAGAGAGAGAGAGAGTGGGCAGGTGGGAAAGAAGAGAGAAAAGGATGGAGGAGGAAAGGAGAGAAAAGAAAAGAAGAAAGTTAGGAAGCAAAGAAAGCAGGAAAGAGGAAGGGGAGGGGAAGGAATTCAGATGGGAGGGAAGGGGAAGGAAGAGGAGGGTAACTGATGGAAAAGGAGAGAAAGTCAGAGATGAGGAGGGAAGGGGAGAGAGAGACGGGGCTGGATGGAAGTTAGGAAGACAGGAAGTTAGGAAAGAAAGAGGAAGGGAAAGGGAGAGGAGGAGAGGGAAGAGGAGGGGATGGCTGAGGTCGTCCATGCGGATCATTTCCACAACCCCTCCTCAATGTGGGTCCCTGAACGAATCTCTGGCAAACCTGGGAGTGTCTCACCCAGCTCTGTCAGCCCTGCCCTCTGACGGCCTCAATCAGATCGAGCCTGCTGACAGCGGCCTTCGCTAGGAGACGAATGTCCACGCAAGGTTGAGACCCACTGGCACCGAAC